AAAAAAAAAAAAAAAAAAAAAAAAAAATGAAAGTGCAGAAGTGTGTTTCAGCAGCAGCACTGCTGACATTTCAGACGGGCTCATTCTTTGCTGTGGGGGCTGCCCCGTGCACTACAGGATGTCGAGCAGCATCCCTGGGCTCCACCCACCAGTTACATCCCCTCACACACACATCAGTTGTATGTCCACAGACACTGCCAGCTGTCCTTTGGGGGACCAGATTCTCCTGGTTGAGAACCACAAAGCTCTGCTGTGAATTTAGCAGTACTTTTAAAGAATTTATATTTGTTAAGTTACAACCCCTATTTGCATTTAAATTCTGTGTATGTACAAAATAGTATTGTGTGTGTAAAAAGCATGCCGTGACTCAAGCCGCTGGCGATGGGTGAATGGATTTGTGGTTTTGCTGTGGTAACTGCTCTCCCAGGGCTCTGTCCCCCATTGGATGGGAAGTGCTGCTCTTAGGTCCACACACGAGAGACTTTGCCCCTGTAAGGGCATTTCTGAACATAGGTATGTTTGCTTGCGTAAGGCTTACATATGGAGGGAAGCTTGCACATGTCTGTCTGTGTGTTTGTGTGGGTGTGTGTATACTGTTTTTAAACAACAAGCACTCATTTATAACATGCTTTCTTTCCCTGTGTACAGTGGATTTTTAAAATTTTTCCATGTCCATATATTTTTTCAACTTGTTACAATGACTACATTTTATCCCAGCTTTGTAATTTATTCAGTGTTTCCTGCTGTTACAGACTTAGGGTTTTTTTTCTGTCATACGCCTTATTGGACCACGTTTGCATGTCAGCAGTTATGCCTTTCAGATGCAAGTTAGCTTTAGACATATATATATATATTCTCAAGTGGCACTTCAGAGAGATTGTGCCCATTTTTGATCCTGCCAGCCTCATATAAGAGCGTCCGTTGCTGCACACTTCTGCCAGTATATAGGTCATCATTAAAGAAAAACAGGCTGGGAACAGTGGCTCACGCCTGTAATCCCAGCACTTTGGGAGGCCAAGGCGGGTGGATCACTTGAGGTCAGGAGTTTGAGACCAGCCTGGCCAACATGGTGAAATCCTGTCTCTATTAAAAAAAAAAAAATACAAAAATTAGCTGGGCGTGGTGGCGGACGCCTATAATCCCAGCTACTTTGGGAGGGTGAGGCAGGAGAATCGCTTGAACCCGGGAGCCGAGATTGCACCACTGCACTCCAGCCCGGGATACAGTGTGAGACTCTGTCCCAAAAAAAGAAAAGAAAAACAATTTGTTATTACTAACCTTGATAGTGAACTAGAGATTTACATTCCTCTTGCCCACGTCTGTGTTTTTTAACCTTGGATGTGCTTAGAGAAATAAGTGTGCCTGACCTGTCTCCTGTTAATTGTGGAAGAACATTCTAGAAGGCTGGAGCAAGGGCTCACAGCTGGAATCTCTTGCAGTCCTGCAGGTCTTCCCTGGCCGAGCTCATGGCCCGCACCTCCCTGGACTTGGAGCTGGATCTCCAGGCGTCGAGAACACGGCAGAGGCAGTTGAATGAGGAGCTCTGCGCCCTCCGTGAGCTGCGGCAGCGGTTGGAGGATGCCCAGCTCCGCGGGCAGACTGACCTCCCACCCTGGGTGCTTCGGGATGAGCGTCTCCGAGGCCTGCTGCGGGAGGCCGAGCGGCAGGTGGGATCCCCAGTGGCCAGCTCCTTCTTGTGCCTCCCTGCCCCCTGCTCCAGGCTCTGAAGGGAACATCCCAGATGCGCAGGTGGTCCCTGAAGTGCCCCACCACTGGACTCTTGGAGCCCCTTCTCCCTCTGTGGGCTGCAAGGGTGGCATCTGTGTGGCTCCTGTGTGCATCTGGAGACTGTGGTTGCTGGAAGACGGGCTGAGGGCCCTCCCCACCTTGTGGGGGGAACATTCTGGTTCCTCAGTCGCCAGGCCTGACTCCAGGCACCCCAGCCTCTGTCTCCTGGGAAGAATTCGTTGGTGGGGGTTGTGGGTGAGGTGGGCCTTTCTCCCCCCTGGGTCACCACTCACTGACTGTGATTGGTTCTTCTGGGCTCCAGGGCTGGCAGTGAACTTATTCATTCTTCCTTAAAAAAATAAAATCAGGAAAATCATCTTGTTGATCCAATGTTGCTGTTCCAGACAAGACAGACCAAACTCGACTACCGACATGAGCAGGCAGCTGAGAAGATGCTGAAGAAGGCCTCCAAGGAGGTCTACCAGCTGCGCGGCCAGAGCCACAGAGAGCCCATCCAAGTGCAGACCTTTAGGTATGGCGAGGTGCCAAGGCCGCACCTCCGCCCTGCTTCCTTCTTAACCCTCGTGCCTTTGGCATGGTCAAAAGTACAGGAGCCTGTTTTTGTTTTTTTCTTTTGGGATGAAGTCTTACTCTGTCACCCAGACTGGAGTGCAGTGGTGTAATCTTGTCTCACTGCACCCTCTGCCCCCTAGGCTCAAGGGAGTCTCCTGCCTCAGCCTCCCCAGTAGCTGGAATTACAGTTGTGCACCACCATGCCCGGCTAATTTGTATATTTTAGTAGAGACTGGGTTTTGCTATGTTGCCCAGGCTGATCTCAAACTCCTGACCTTAAATGATCTACCTGCCTCAACCTCCCATAGTGCTGGAATTAGAGGTGTGAGCCCCTGTGTCCGGCCCCGTGAGTCTTTAAAACCCAGGGGAAGTTGAGAACAAAACAGGAATCCACTGCAGCCAGCAGCCTCACTACCAGGAGCGTATTTTCATGTTTTTATTCTGATCTTTTCTTCCTATCTTTTTTTTTAATGCCACTTCTAATCATAATGTGGGTTCAATTTCGCATTTAGCATTTTTAAAATTAACATATTTCATGTTGCTACGTAATCTGTTATCTTGTTTTACTGTAATGTCTCATCTAATACAATTTACCCAACAACTCTATTTTATAGCATGCCGCTCGTCTTCAAATGCTCACCATTATAAATAACAATGATATACGTACACGCACATATATGTCCCCCCACCCCTGGATAGGGTCTTCCTCTGTCACCCAGGCTGGAGTGCAGTAGCTCAATCATGGCTCATTATAGCCTTGACCTCCTAGGCTCAAGGAATTCTCCCACCTCACCCTCCCAAGTAGCTGGGACTGTAGGCACAGGCCACCATGCCCTGCTCATTTTTTAGAGATGGGGTCTCACTGTGCTGCCCAGGCTGATCTCAAACTCCTGAGCTCAAGCGATCCACCTGCCTCAGCTGCCCAAAATTCTGGGATTACAGGCTTGAGCCGCTGTACCCGACCACATTTGCTTTTTCAACTAACTTTTGATGAAGGCAAAGTGTACCAGCAGAAAAGCTGCATATCATAAACACACGGTCCAGTGAATTGTTAGAAATTTACTATCCCGAGAATCAACCATTATCAGCACCCCCAGATTCCACACTAGAGTAACCACCACCTTGAATTATAATAGTATAGATTGGTTTTGCCTGCTCTTGTTTTTTCCAAAGGGATTTTTGCAGATATATTGGTATTCATTTGTGTCCGTGAAAAGATTAAGATGAAATTCACATAACATAAAGTGACCCATTTTAAAGTGAACAGTTCAGCCTTTGGCTCATTCACAGTATTACCCAACCACCCCCTCTGTCTAGTTCTAGAACATTTTTACCACCCCAAAAGTAAACCCTATTCCCACTAAGCAGTCTTTCCCCTCCCCCTCCCCAGCTCCATCTCTAGGGATTTGCCTTTCTGCCTATTTCATAGGAATGGAATCATATCTTACATAGCATTTTGCGTCTGGCTTCTTTCCCAGAGCTGAAGGTTTTCGAGGTTCACCCATGTCACAGCATATGTGACAGTGCTTCCTTCCTTGTTAAGGCTAAATAAAATGTGTCTGACTTTTAGCCCTAATTTTTCTATACCTTTAATATTCAGATAGTTTTCACTTTTTTATTCATTTGTTAATATGACAGGTATTTCCTGAGCACCTAATATACACCAGGCAGTATTCTAGACAGTGGAGATGAAGGAACCCCTGCCCTTATGGCGCTTCATAATTAACATTTGGAGATTCTGGATACAAGCACATGTGTTGTTGGAGACTTAAATGCAGTTTGTTGTGTGAATAAGAAAAGCCATGATTGATATGAGGGCCATCAGCTTTCTGTGTCTTCATATCAGCTTCTGACCTGTGATTCTGTCTGGTTCCAGGGAGAAGATAGCATTCTTCACCAGGCCAAGGATCAACATACCTCCTCTCCCAGCCGACGACGTCTGATCGAGTGCATTGTGCACATGAAGTATTTATCTGCCTGTTTTATTTTCATGAAGTTCTTAGACTAGCTGAATTTGTCTTTAAAATATTTGTGCAAAGCTATTAATATACACATT